CCTTTGTGATAATTGTTTTAGAGATACCTACGTTTAAAGAAGCATAATAATAATAAACAATGAAAAACCAATGATCGTAGGTGAGAACAATAGACAACTTACGCGGTTACGTTCCGTAAATGTTACCTGATTTATCAAGTATTGTTTGCCTTGTCGTTTTTTTTTTTTTTATTTTCTGATGTTCACGTTTCAAAATCTGCTATATGAATCAGCCACAACAACAGCCGCTACATAGGGACCTTTAGGTTAGTTGGGTACATTTTTCCTAAACTCTTACTGACCATATTCAGAACGCCCGATAACCAACTATCCCTTTAGGCAGTGAGACAATTTCCACACATCGTTTGACCAAAGAATTGAAGTTTGAAGAAATGGGCCTTTCATGAATGTCGCTTCTAATATGCAAATATTATGGGGAAATCTCGTCAAACAGTGTGTGGACGGCCTCGAAGAATCCTTCGTATATTTTCTTTAAGATGAGAAATAGCTTATTTTCATTTTGCAGGGATAAGCCCAAACCAAAACGATTAAGGTTGCCGTTTTCAAGAAAGTTTCTTTCGAATCTCATCCGGCACATATCTCACTCAACAAAAAAACTATTGTGGTAACAGGTGTGAACTTAGTAACTGAATTTGAGCAGCCGTAATATGGCAATGAAGTTCGTCGCACCTGTTATTGCTTGAGCGCTTCTTGTCATTGCCTCCTCGGTTGGCAAACCGCCTGAAGAAAAAAGCTTGTTGTCTCGGCGGAAAAACCCGCGCCAGCTTATATTTGCAGAAGAAGAATCGTAGGCCTATACTTAATCATGCGCGATGTCAAACTTTTCAAAAACGGAAAGTAGTTGCACACGAACTGAGATCCTTTCTGTAACTACGTGACATAAACGAACGGTGAATTGTGACGTCATCTATGCATCGGTCCTTCATTAGATCACGTGTAAATAGCAATTACAATGCCAGTAGAAGTCAGTGTATCGTTCAAATTCACCTTATAAATGCAGTATTTGTTTTAGGCAATAACCGACCATCATTTTAGGCTTCTCATTATCACTTTTTGTCCTTTCAAATTATTTTGAATTCATCTCAATACTTAACTTAATTTGGTTGCCATACACTTTCGTCTCAGAAATATCCCAAACAAATCCTCGACCAGTTTACAGATTAGTTAATCACTGATAATAGTTCTGACCAGGTTTGTAACAAGAAGTTATATAAGTATTAGAAATTTCACGCTGTTCGTGTCGTTGACATCAATCTAGGAGCCCCAGATGTGGTCGAAATAGACGGACTGCCAGATAAAACAACAGACGATACAATTACCCTAAAGTGGAAGGAGCCAGAAAGTAATGGGAAAGTTATAACCATGTACACAGTGTACCAAAGAGTAGTAACTGATGGGAAAGTGGGACATTGGATAGAAGTAAGGAAAATCAGAGATGTTTCTGTGAGAGAATTGAAAATAGCGTTGGAGAGAGGAAAAGTGTATCAGTTTGCCATTACTGCAACTAATGCGTTTGGTGAAAGCCTGAAACAAGAGAGAGCAAACATCCAGCAAGTCAAGGCAGAAGGAAGTATGTTCAAATGAATCTTATTTTCCCCTTTCAACGGTTTATCCTTTTCTTTACTTAGTTTTCAAGGACTCTCCGTGTCATCAACATCGAGGATTTTACGGGTGAATTCTACGCTTGCAAGAAGCTGAATCAACGAGAAAAATTTTACTTACGTCGCAGTTGATATTTGTATGCCAACTGAAAATATATGACATATCTATTACCTGAGATTTTAATCATTGGCTGGCACAAACAAATATTTTAAGTCTGACACATGCTGATCTGAATCTGGTAAGAGAAGTCTGCAACACTTTCGTTTAATCTTCTTACATTTAAATTAACTGCTTTTGTCTTTCCTTTGCTGCCATCACTTAGCTGATGCCTCTCTCCCGCAAAAAAATTTCACTCTCCCACACTGAATTCCGAGAACTTTATTCTTCACACCGATGAAAGCGACTTAAAACTTAGCCTCCTCTGCGCACCGTAATTTCGACACCAGATTACTGAACTGCGAGAACTCAGAATTGTCGGCGATTTCGCTTTAGCTTAATTAAGAATGTATGGTCACGCTGCCTCACGCTCCGAACAGAGAGGTTGTCTATCTTTTCACAAGTTTTCTTCGGTGAGGCTACAGAGCGTGACGCAAACTTCCTGTCTCAAGGTCATGAAGGGGTATTCATTTTCTTAGGTCTTAGGTCTTAGTTTTCGGGGATCTTCGTTTTCGCTACAAACGTAGTTAACTCTCTCTTTGTTGATGATCTCTTTTCAGTCTCTTTTCTGGAGCTCTTTGTATTCTCTTCTCACATTGGTCTTCGCTAGATATTGGCCATTCTACTTTAACCTTTTCTTGTTCTCTATCGTCTTCCCCTCGCTGTGTTCTGCCTATTCTTCGCCCTATCAATCCCCATTTCGCGTTTTTCTCGACTCGCTCCACGCCTTTTAAGTTCTCTCTCTCTTTGGTCTCTCTCTCTCTTTGGTCTCTCTCTCTCTTTGGTCTCTCTCTCTCTCTTTGGTCTCTCTCTCTCTTTGGTGTCTCTCTCTCTTTGGTCTCTCTCTCTCTTTGGTCTCTCTCTCTCTTTGGTCTCTCTCTCTCTTTGGTCTCTCTCTCTCTTTGGTCTCTCTCTCTCTTTGGTCTCTCTCTCTCTTTGGTCTCTCTCTCTCTTTGGTCTCTCTCTCTCTCTTTGGTCTCTCTCTCTCTTTGGTGTCTCTCTCTCTTTGGTTTCTCTCTCTCTTTGGTCTCTCTCTCTCTTTGGTGTCTCTCTCTCTTTGGTGTCTCTCTCTCTTTGGTCTCTCTCTCTCTTTGGTGTCTCTCTCTCTCTTTGGTGTCTCTCTCTCTTTGGTCTCTCTCTCTCTTTGGTCTCTCTCTCTCTTTGGTCTCTCTCTCTCTTTGGTCTCTCTCTCTCTTTGGTCTCTCTCTCTCTTTGTGTCTCTCTCTCTTTGGTCTCTCTCTCTCTTTGGTCTCTCTCTCTCTTTGGTCTCTCTCTCTCTTTGGTCTCTCTCTCTCTTTGGTCTCTCTCTCTCTTTGGTCTCTCTCTCTCTTTGGTCTCTCTCTCTCTTTTGTCTCTCTCTCTCTTTGGTCTCTCTCTCTTTGGTCTCTCTCTCTCTTTGGTCTCTCTCTCTCTTTGGTCTCTCTCTCTCTTTGGTCTCTCTCTCTCTTTGGTCTCTCTCTCTCTTTGGTCTCTCTCTTTGGTCTCTCTCTCTCTTTGGTCTCTCTCTCTCTTTGGTCTCTCTCTCTCTTTGGTCTCTCTCTCTCTTTGGTCTCTCTCTCTCTTTGGTCTCTCTCTCTTTTTGTCTCTCTCTCTCTTTGTTCTCTCTCTCTCTTTGGTCTCTCTCTCTCTTTGTTCTCTCTCTCTCTTTGGTCTCTCTCTCTCTTTGGTCTCTCTCTCTCTTTGGTCTCTCTCTCTCTTTTGTCTCTCTCTCTCTTTGGTCTCTCTCTCTCTTTGTCTCTCTCTCTCTCTTTGGTCTCTCTCTCTCTCTCTCTCTCTCTCTCTCTCTCTCTCTCTCTCTCTCTCTCTCTCTCTCTCTCTCCTCTCTCCTCTATTTCTTCCGTTTGGAAAAGGGAAAAGCTTTAGCTATGAGTATCGTTGCTTTGCAAGTTTATTAGAAATTGCAAATCACCAGGAATCACTTTTCAACAACAACCTCACCAGTATGATTTCCCGCTCAAAACACGGGTTGCAAATCCTTTCCTTGCGCTGCTTCACATCCTCTAACCAACATGAAACCTTTCTAGGTTTCTACAAATATCTTTGAAGTTGAATCTTGAGTCTCTTTTCGTTATCTAGTTTGAGATGAGATATTCTAGTTCTAGCTTGTCTTCGTTGAAATCAAACTTTAGCAGCGCAAGAAACAGAAACAAGACAAATTCCGTATTTCAGTGGCTATAGTTACCATGATCATTGAAATTTGGTTTAAAGAGGACAATCGTGAAACACGAATAATCTGATGAGAAGAACTGAAAAAAAAATAACAGGTTGAAAGTGACTATTCTTTTTAATTTAGTATAACTATCAGAGGAGTTTGACACAATAGAGAAAACTGTGGAGTGAACAATCAAAACTGGCGACATAAAGAGAAGATATAAGAGAAGCCCGTACGTTTCTGGCGTATTGTTTCACTGACTCACTCTTCTCATTTATACCCATCTATTGGTCGACCGGTAATCTCTTAACTGGAAGTTGCTTATGGTCGTTTCTTTATACTCTGACTCATTTTCCCAAACCAAAGTTCACAATAACGCTCATTGAAATATCATTTCAACCGACGCAGACATCATACACGAGAGATATGAGAGATATTGTTTTTCTTGTGTTCTGCGTCACGATGGTGTTGTCAGAATCGTTCCCCTTGTCGTCTTCCTTTTTCGCCGAAGTACAATTTTTTGAAATAACCGCAAGTTATGACATAGATGACATTGGTGGAGGCAGTCTCAACATTATTTATGAAAGGAAGAGTTTTGTGTCATGCACGCAAGGTGAAAGCCTCGGGTTGATCATTTATTTAGAAAGTATTTCTGACCAAATAGTTGTCTATGTTTTATGCGAAAATAATATACCAGTTTTTGGATTATTTTGAAGTAATTTAAATTTGTTAGAAGGACAGTTCTTGCCGGTAAAATGGAATACGATCATTTTTTTCCTTCTGTGACGTTTGTAGAATGCCGACTTTCGATCAGTTAAGACTCCCTTGAATGACAAAGGTAGGAGAAGAACTGGCGTATTACCGCTGACATCTTGGAAAATCAGAACTGTCAATATATAGGCGATGAAGCCTATATATCTTACATTCGTGATATCTTATGATAATGATATCTTACATTCGTACATTTTAGGCCAGTGTTCTTTGTAAGTAAAGGCTGTTTTTTACACAGGAGTTCAAATGATAATTCTTGTGCAAACAAACAAACGTTCATTTTCAGTCGTATTTTGTTTTTTTCCCGGTTCAAACAGTAAGCACAGAAGTTTACCTGACAGCGACAATACAGGATGACTGTAGCAGACGTTCGGAAGTTGCTGCGAAATTTCCAGAAATGGTTAGATAATCTACTTGATCCATATACTGGAGTTTAAGGAATACTGCCATGAGATTTATCATGAAAAGTGAATCTTATTCAATCTATTCTTGAATGAAATCTTAATATTTCTGTTAAAAAAATAAGATATTCTGAACGATCTTCAATACGTGACAAGCATTTGAATGTACGTTTTTTTCTTGATATGTCCTTTTAGGCTTGTCAAATTGCCTTGAGGTTTGGCTGCTCATCCGCCAACACTGTGAACACCAGGTAAGGTACAGTTTGTTGTTCTACACTGAAACAACAAATGCAAACTCAAATTTGCCTTCTAGTAGGGGAGAGGAGCTTTATTTCAATGTGTTGTATTTTAGCTGTAAAAGTGTTTTTTCTGCTCTAGCAAATCTTATTTAATACAAGATAATTTATGTTTGAAGTATATTGTCTTTAATATTGTCTTTATTTACCTTGGTTTAATACATTGGTTAAATCTCAATATATTTTAACACTTAAAAATCACCAAAGTACGAATGTGTGCGATGATACTCTCTGCTCTCTCTCTCCCTCCCCCACCCCCCTTATCTAGGTGTGGCAGTGTTGTTCTTGACTTTATGATGAGGTTCAATCAAACTGTAGTCGTCAGCAATGTTTTGATTGTCCTGTCGGATGCTGCAAGGCAAGACAAATTCAGAGGTTTTAAAGTCAATCCAGACTCAATTAAACAAGTTTTAATACCCACAGATGGCTCGGAAAGCACAACAAAAGGTAAATTTTACAAAGACATTGTTCAATGTTTACACGTATTCTTCCGAAGATGGACTGTTTATAATTGTATTCCGTATCTATTTAATTAAACAACTTATTCTGTGACTGATACACTTCCAAGTTTTTGTTTTTTTCGTTGTTGTTTTATTTAATTGAACAAAGTCTTACTCTTAAAAATTATTTTAGAGAGAGTAGCACCTTACTCTTCCTTAGTACCAAGCCAATTAGAGTTAACGTTTTCCGGTCATGAACCTTAGCTATGTAGTGAGAGCAGTGTATCGACCAGGATCAGTGTAAATGTTGTTTGAATGTTATTTCATCAAGCTTTGCAAAATGAATCATTTTAGGTCCTGAGGAATGTAACTGCCCATCTAACAACGTCTTGTTGGCCATAATTGGGGTTCTTGCCTTCACAGTCCTTCTTCTAATTATTTACATAATCTGGCTACATAAGAAAGGTAGGTAAAAGAATCATAATCTATGTTTGGCTGCAAGATTCTTTTTAACACAAAAGCAAATTTTTACTCGCGTTTAAATCATTTTTATTTTTTCCTTTCGTTGTTTTTCAGGCGCTGTAGGGAAACAGAGGTAAGAGTTTTCTGCTAGTTGGGTTGTGTCGATATAATGTGCCCGAAATGGTTTCATCTTAACACAAAACTCCAATAAAAACTGATGAAATTCTTAGCGTTTTATAATTATTTATATGCTTTCTCAATTGTAGGACTTATGAAGATGAGAGACGTGTTTGCCACGTAAGTTACAGCTAAGACATTGAGGTCATGTTAGTGTGACCAGAAATTATGTAATCTTACTTTACCTCTACTTTCTATGAGAAAATAAACGCTTGCAGCAAATGAAAAGGAAAAAATTTTTAGTTCTACATAAAAAAAAGCATATTGCATCAGTGGCAGATACAATGAAATAAAAGAGGAAGTTAGGCTCGATAAGGTCTTTGTCCTGTGATCATGCATATGTCCTTTACCAAGCCACTCCATGGATTTTCCTTCGATTGTCCCTGGTTCAACCGCTTGGTTTCACTTCGCAGATCGCTAATTGGTCTGCACCCGGTTGATATTTGCTTTCTAAATAATAGATTTCGTGCATTTTGGCCGTCGTATTTTCTTGATGCCTTATTTTCTAAACGTGAGTTTAGGAGCTTGGTACTGCAAGAGTTGTTTCGTGTGTTTATTTGTCAAAATATTGGACTACTAATCGACAATCTTCACGTTGCAGTTTGTAGCTTGGACGAAAATGCTATGAGCCTCGATCACTCTATTGGACATGATAGTTTCAAAAGCAGAGAACAAAATGTTAGTAATAATAAGGACAAGAGGTTATAAACTATTTATAATCTCTTATCATGGAAGAATATAAACATTTGTCTGATATAAATGGGTGAACTGATTTTTATAACCATGAGGCACTTTTTACTGGGATTAATAACAGATTTGGATATGAATACCTTAACAGTGTGTTGGTTTAATAGAATGAAACATTATTAGAAGATATCGAACCAAGTCTACCTGATTCAAGAAAACTCACCCAGCCTCATGCGGAATACATGGATCTCATAGAAGTCAACAAAGATGATAGAAAAGCACAAAGTACCCCTCCAGGTGCTGATTACGTGCCTCTTCATCCATTAACACGCTGCTGGGAAGTTCCTAGACATAACGTGACCATAGAAAAAATCATTGGTAAAGGTGCTTTTGGTCAGGTTGCCAAGGGAACAGCGGTAGGACTTCCAGGGAGTCCTGAGACGACCACAGTGGCTATTAAGATGCTTAAAAGTGAGCTCTTGTACTGTAAATTGAATGAGTCTTGGCCTACAGACATTCAGGAAATGTAACCGGGTTACTGTAATTATTTAGCTATTTGCCATTTCATAAGTTATGTTGTTATTCCGACATTTCGCATATTATTCCCGTTAACCAAATTTTACTCCTTGTTTTTAATGCTCCAGCAAACGCCTCTGAATCGGACAAGAGAGATCTGATGAAAGAACTTGACACAATGAAACAGCTAAAACCACATCCTTACGTCATTAAACTTCTGGGATGTGTTACTGAATCTGGTATGCTTTGGTTATGCGGGTCTAATTTTGCTGTACACATTTTTCTTATGATTTACTCTGTAACGCTTTCTCGTCATTGATAATTTGCCTCAGTGGAAGGGTGACCGCTTCGCAATTGAGCAAAACAAACAACCATCGCATAAGGTAGTTTTATCTTATTTTAGCCAACACAGACGTTCCTGGATTTACTGATAGACTAAGACCGAATATTTGCCACTGAACAGATCATTCTGTTGTAGAAGCAGAAACGCTTTTTGTAAGGGAATAATTGGTCTGTACTTTCTTATGAGACCGTCGCATAGTTTTTCTTGTTTTCATGCGATTTCTTCAAAAAGTGTTGACCATGACTGGGTTATTCATCTATTTCAATTACTGCTTTTTTTTTTAAAGAAAGTAACATATCAATTAAATTATTTAATTTCTTCAGAACAGCTGTTGGTTTTGATTGAATATGTGCCTTTTGGGGATCTGCTGGGTTACCTGAGAAAGAGCCGTGGATTAAAAGACACTTACTACAAAGACCCGGATATCAAACCACAAACAAATCTGACGTCACAGCAGCTGATGAAGTTTGCGTGGCAAATTGCTGATGGAATGAGTTACTTGTCCGCAAAATCTGTAAGTTAGTTAAAAACTCAAAGGACAAACAATTCTAAAACCTTCTCGTAAGGTCTATCGTCATGTTAAGCTCTGTCTGGCATGGAATATTATGTCTTCACAAGATCACGCCTGGGAGATGCAGACGTATTCTTACCGTCTTGTCGAGGCTATTTCTTTAAGGCCAGGAACCCTCCCGATTTTGACGTCATCATATAAGTTTTATTTCAATGCGAGAATGGCGATATTTGTTCATCGTTGCAAGTGTACCCCATCGAAATAAAATATCTGGGTTTTTCTCGTGTGAGCAAAGGCAGAGACGCGAAGGAATAGGATCTTTTAAGATATTCAGCTTAAACTGAGTGTACAACAAATATCCATTTTAGTGACAAGGAAGAAAAGGAATTAAAACTTCAACTTTAAAAAATCGTCTTTGGTCGCTAAACTGCTTCATTACAGAATCCTATTTCGATTAAAATGTTAAGGTAAGCGTTCTTTGAAATGACTACGTATTGCAGAAATAAAGTAGTTTGCTTCTCTTTGGAATATGGAGCAGTTATTGTAGTAGTTTTAACTTTCTGCCATCTGGAAGAAAAAGAAATACACACACCATACTATGTTGCTAGATATTTCTATTTTCCTCTCTGAACCATTTCATTTCAGTTCTTTTTCTTCAACAATCGCTAAGTTTTGCTGTTACATCAATTCTTTCTTAGATCATTCACCGAGACCTTGCGGCCCGTAATGTGTTGGTTGGACAAAAGGAAATGTGTAAAGTGACAGACTTCGGAATGGCCAGAGATGTGCAGCAGGAAAATATTTATGAACGAAAGACAAAGGTAATCAAGAAAAAGGGGAGGGGAGGGCGGTATCACATTTCGTTCAGTTTAGTGATCTTTGACAATCATTGTTGTGGTTGAGCTGATATATTCCTGATTTCGATCATGAATTCCTTGGGACCCCAATGAAACTATCAGCCATGCGTATACGAGTACAATTTCAAATATCACTCTTTCTGACTACTCGCTTCCTATAATTCTCGAGCTGTTTCACAAAGTGATATTTAAAATCTTTAGGGCCGTCTTCCCGTGAAGTGGACAGCTTATGAGGCCTTATTGTATGGTAAATATACCACCAAAAGTGACGTGTAAGTATACCTGATTATTACCCGTAGCAGTTTATCAAAAATTTTATCAATTTTAATCAGGACTTGAATTCTATGCTTTGTCAAAGAATACATTTATTTTATTCGTCGTATATACTGTTTATTTCTATAGTCACTTCATTTATATTCGTTTGATTTGTCTTTCTGCAGATGGAGTTATGGAGTTTTGCTGTACGAGATTTTCACCATAGGTAACATCGAATGGAATTTTATAAGGCTCTGTAGATGTTTTTTGCTTTACACCATGTTTAATTAAACAATGTATCGTGTTCAGTCAGACAAACGTAATGAGCTTCAAACTACATCTAGTGACAAAGGTGGTGTTTCATTGAAGGTCGTTTTTTTGTCACATTTATATTTCGATGGTCTTGTGGTTTTTCCAGGCGGTTCACCTTACCCACGAATGGATGGAAGAAAAATTGCAAACTTACTCCAGGATGGATACAGGATGCCTAAACCACAACACGTCGATGGAAAGTTGTAAGTTTTCCTTATTTACTTGTTCTCCCTCGCCGTACAAGGAAACATTCTTTAAATCTTTAACAGATTATTTGAATAATACCAGGTATCAGATCATGATGAAATGCTGGAAGAATGACCCAGACGCAAGACCAACTTTCACTGAATTGAAAAATCAGCTTAAGGACATGGAAACCCTACACAAGGTCAGAATTTTTATCAATATGAAAGTTTTTTTTCACTTAAGACCGACTGGCTTAGGCTCAGCTAATTAGGGTTAAACGTAATAGCATTGAGCCTAAATAGCGTCTCAATGACAATTGAATGTCTCAATGACAATTAACACTTGATGGTTATTTAAAAGATCATAGGATGATTGCAAAACTGCATTGAGACGCCCTAAAATACTTCGTCCTTGAATTTGTTTTGGTGTGAAAACCTGACCACTCATGAGGATAACCACTTAAAACTTTTTTAATGGTGCTGATTATTATATTATTTTTCTCTGCAGAAGCTAATTGACATGAAAATGTACGATAAGCAATTGTATGCAAACGTCGAGGATTTAACGGTGTAGTTAGGTACACGTTTACGGTGTATGACCTGCTAATATTTTGAACACTTCGCCTAGACAAGTTTCAGGGATTAATCATCGTTTTCTTACACGCTTACTTGGTAGAAAAAGGCATGTTGCGTTTGGCAGTTAGGCTGTAACATTGTAATTCAATTGACTTCATATTCTTAAAAGCTGAAACGCTTTTATAAGTTTACCAATAAAGTTTAATCTCATTTTCTCTTTAACATATTAAGTATTTACATATATGCCTCGACACAAGCCTTTGAGTTCAGTTTATTTTCTGGCTCAATTCTGAGGTGATGATGAGATCTCGCTCTGAAAGCCATAGTTGTGTACAATTTTAATAAATTGCTAAAAAAATTTTGCCGCAAAACCCGCTTGTTTTTAGGAAAGCTAATCGTGCGCATAAATTGCTTTCCCAAAGACCGCCTTCACTTGCGATACCAACTCGAAATACTTTTATACGGAACTCTAATCAAAATTATACTTGGCACATTACTTCTGCAAGAAAGTTTATTGTTTGGCCTAATAGGCCGATAGTTTTCGCGTGCTAGATACAATTACTCAGCGAAACTGGTCGTAGGTACGGGTTGAAGTCTTTTTTTCTTGAATACGTTGCTAATGTAATAACTTTAATTTTTTTACATAATAAAAGTGTTGAAAAATTCTGAGTTGACTCTGTCTGCATGATGATGCCGTACATGAGTTCACATATTTCTCTCCACGACATTGATCTAACATATCTAGACCCATCTCTGTAGATCTCTCCTTTGAAGGAAGGACAAAACCAAACCAAAGTAACAGAGCTTCCCGAAGTGCAAAAAATCGCTTGTACGTGTTTCAGGAGACTTACATCCAAGAGACCATGTTCTCCTGTCACTCTCAGTAGAGGTTAAGTTAAGAGTCCATCAATCTTACATAATTATAAACTAGGTTACCTTTTGGTTAAAACCCTTCTTTCCTCAGCTGATATAAATAATTGCACTAGAAACAGTACCTAATATTTAAATAACGCTTTTTCAGTCTGGAGTAGAGGATACCTGAGGAATAGTCTTAACATTCAAATGAAGGAGAGTTTAGCGTCTGTTTGGAAATATTTCCTAACGTTATTTTGTTTCTGAGGGCAAAATGATGCTTCAGCATACAGAGGAGAGGGGGTGAAATGGAAGGGGGAACAGGGGGTGGTCGTAGCTTTGCAAAATGAATTCACTGAAATTTTTATATATAATTTTTTGAAGGCTTTTGCTGAGAAGAAAATGAGTTTTATCCTAACATTTCTGCAAATGTCGAACTTTGTCAAATTTGCCATTCTAAACGACATCACGAGTCCACCCCTGATGCAAAGATTGTGTCATTGGTGAGCTAAGTTGTAGTCTTTCGTGGGATAAGGTAAGTTTACTCAGGATTATTACTGTACTGCTTTTAGGAGTCGCTCCTTGGTAAGAATATTACACGTTGTCTGATAAGGTAGTTGGGTTTGTAGGAGTATCATAAGTGTTCTTTCTGTCGCTTAAATCATACCTTAACAGCTGTGTTCAGCAGTTAATAATTGATATTTCTCTTACAAAATATCCAATCACAACGAGAACCCTATCCTCTTCTCTTGCACTTCGATAGGGGTTTACGCTGCTAGTCTTGAGTCACTTAGATTGCGGTTCTCCCGAGATAGGACATAATGCCTACAACGATTTCTGAGAGGAATATCATTATTTCATTTTGATCCTTCTACAAACCCAAAAGGTCTATAGCAGTGCCTTTTATTAAATGACTGTTTCACTTGTGTTACGTAGTCAAGTGTGCAGGAAGTTTACGTAGACATTATACATTCAATATTCCTACATATTCCTTTAATTTTCATTTTCCTCCACCGCGAGATGCTTTCTCTGACCAGAGGTCCGAGTCTGTTGGTTATCAATACCATATTTTCGTCAAACACGGTGGTTATTCCTTCCACCACATTCTTCGCTGAAATGACAGCTATTTCTAAAATCGCAACATAAAAAGCGATGCGACTAAACGATGTCGCACTGAGTTATTGGACCTCCCGCCAAGCTCAAAGGATCAAACCCCTAACTTCATAGATACTGAGAGGTCGCGTACATGCTCTTCACTAAACTCAAAGGGTGCTGTTGATTTTTCTTTTTTCAAATCATGAAAAATCATTCTTGAATCCTCATTCTTAACAGTGTAGCACATGCTATGTGTATGCTTGACATGTCATTTATAAATCAGTATCAGCATGACCATGCATACTAACGTAAACAATGGAACAGAATGTGATGTTCTGGAGGGATGTTACTAAAAACGATAAACGATGAACGAGGAGGGAAGAACGGAGAACTCGGTCTTTAGAGTAATCTGCTAAGACGGTAAATTAAGCTGTTACTGAAGCGTTTTGACTTGAAATTTGACTTCAAAAGTTTAGTTTGAAGACGATAGAAATTGCAGGTGAGCTAGAAATCGGGTATTTGCATCTATTGGAGAATCAATCGTTCCGCCATTTATCCTTTCTAAAAGCGCCTAAATGAAGTGATTTTTTAATCTGGAGAACTCAAACAAAGACTAGAACAAAAATTAAATCACTTTTGGTTCGCTTTTACATCAGGCGATCAAGCGGGAAGCCTTTGTTTTGCCATAATGTCTTGAACTAAACGGCACACACTAAAGATGCGTAGAAAGTGCTAAGAAAAAGATCTCCCGACTTCCGACCACATTTCGCGTAACAAAGAAGTTTCTTCTTTTTCATTCTGATATGCTGCTTTTGGTGTTACACACGGCTGAAGTTAAAAAGAAATCTTTGAATACGTCTTTCTTAATCAAATATAACGAGAAGTATGTGGGTCACAGTGGCGGAAAATAAAGAAAAAGACAAAGCAGAAAACAAAAAAACAAGGACAATGATTTTATCTACTCACTTTGCCTCTACTTCTCAGTGAGTCAACAATATTGAAAACAAAATTAAAACTTTTGTGCACTGTAATCTAAATATTTTAGGTTTAAAAGTGAATAACAGCTGAAAGTCTTTTAAGGTTTACCTTTCGTCGTGAACGCCGGTGGTCAGGCACACGTCGAGGAGTCCACAAACGTCTTGAAAACTGCTATCTATCTATATAATATAGATTTAGCCAAGCCTAAAAGCGGAGCTCTAGTAAGGTTATTTTCCAGCCCTTCATTATACTGAATAAAAACTGTAATAAAACTCTTCAGCACTGATTGTAGAAGAGTTTCCTCAAGGGGATTTAGAGACCAGGGCCCAGTTGTTCGGAGGCGGATTAGTGCTAACACAGGGTTAAATTTTAATCTGGATTTCTTTACTCCTTTGTTCGAAAGCCTTTTTGGGATCATTTCCTCTATTCTATTTCGAGCATCCAATCATCAAATTCTTATCAAAAAGAATTTTACTGAATTTCTTTTAAAGCTTTCAGATCTGAAATCAGAGTTCACACCAACCCTTGGTTATCTTAACCCAGCTTTGAACAACCCAGCCCAGTCCGGAATTTGGGGAGGGGGGAAACAATTGACGAAGTCTGGAACCTGGGGACGATGCTCTCACAACTTGCAAGGCGATCAACACGCATGCTAGTCAGCGGTATCTTTAAACAGCCTGAGATCCTCGTTGTTGTTCCTGATGTTTTGAGCAAATTTTCGAAGATAGAGAATGTTTTCTTTTTCAGTTGAAGTGTATGATGTCAGGATCAGTTACAATTATATTCTATTGAGCGTGACTTAAAATTCCAGTTTAGAAAATTGAGCCTTAATAACTTTCATGCGTTAAAAAACAAACAATTTCTCTTCATCTATGTGCCCTAAACATTACAGGGGAGGAGGCAGGTCAAAGTAAGAACATGAATTAAAAAAGGAGGGCCCCCATTGATTTCAGTCCAAATTAAAGGAGGATCCTTGCCTTTCCAGATTCTAGCCCTTTAAAACTCCTGTATCTTGAAACCAATTCCGTATATCAAAGTTTCGTTTGGGTATAAGCATTGATAAGAAATATCATGCATTAATGAAAGCTTGAGAAAGAGTATTTAATGTAATCTAAATAATACTATTACATGTTACAATGCGGTAACTTACACAGCGAAATTATATAATCACAGAATTCCAGACAAAGGAAGTCAGGTTATTGACTCACCTGCTTCAACTTTGAGGGCTTAAGGTACAGAGAAATAGATATGGCAAACAGTTACAATTTATACAAAGTTGAAAGTTTTAAAGCTGAAAGATATACATTACAGTCATTACACCCTATGCATCCTAGCAAAGAAAGGGTCAATTACCACCATAACCTCTCTCTAACCTTAATGCTTACAGGAAATCATTAATTTTTGTCACAAGGTGGTACTGTACTTACAATAGTTCTACCAACACAATTACATTTTTCTAAAGTTATCTCATTGCATATGACTGAACAGGTCATGTGGAAAGTTCCTGTGTGGAGACTGACATTTCAATTACTCAAGCAAACTGTAATCGTCAGAACTGCAAGCCAAGGTTATTTACCAAGTGCTCAAGTTTCCAAATTAGTCACCTAATTGTTACAGTGGAGTTCATTCCTTTTTGAGGCTATCTTCAGCTTGATCATCCTGTTACTTGTGAAAACATCAAATGTTAAAGGAAATGATCACCAAATAAAAAGCTCTTGATTGTTAAACAAATTCTCCTTGTCAGCACCTTAGGAAATGTATGAAGAACAGTATGGAGAATACACATAATGATGTTGGGGTGTAAAGGATTAAGTGTGATTTTTTTGATGACGTGTACTTTTTCTTATGGACATCTAATTTTAGTATCTTTTACCAGCTGATATATGAGAAGAATCAAGTCCACACTGGTAATTTGACACATTGCAGGCAAACCCTACAACTGATTAAATTTTATTTGATCAAAAACATCAAAGGTAAATAATGGTAATTGCACTGAGTGGAGTGCAATTTGGGCTGAAACCATACGCGTGATTTTCAAAATCAAACGAGCGCGCAGCGCGAGTTCGATTTGAA